TACCCTGGTCCTCCAGGACACCAGATGGTGTTGGAGTCTGGCCCGGCTCGGTGCATCCAGTCCCAGTCCACATTTGTGCAAGGATCTGTGACTCACCTTTAAGGAAACAAAGTTACTATGGAGAAAGCTTAGGAAACTTGAGAGATGTAATTGAAGATTACCATATAGCAGATCCCTGCCATTCTCTATGGGTCCTTCAGCAAGGACCCCATTTGTGGGTGCTTAAACAAGCCTCTTTCTTGCATTGTTGAATCAGTAACAAAACTGGCAGTGGTCCTTTCCGAGTGACAATGAAAATATTTCAATGGACAGTACCACAAAAATACACATTCTCCTTGGGACATCTTTTCAACTTCTAGCTGGTTATTAGGTAGTGGCTTCTTCACGTTCTCATTCAGTCTCTAAAGATAACTAATTTGCATATGTGCTTACTCCACGTCCTTCTGAACTCGCATGTGAGTCCCAGGCTCATATGCCTTAACACAGTGTTTCAGGCTTCTGTGAGAACAGTGCTGGCATATAAAACTAGTGCCGTGAACACTCGTGGAATGAATGAGCTCCACTTGCATTGTGGAATCTCTTCACAAGGGATGATGAACCCTACTCTATGCCACGTTTCAGACTAGATTTATTTAAGGATAAAACTTAAAGATTTTTAAATTTTGTGTTGAGACAGAAAAGTAATAAATAATACATTGCCCTTTCCCTTGAAGCAGTTCTAGAAAAATTTTAAAATGTATGTCTGCATGACTTTCACAAGTTTAAAGTAGCTTTCAGTGAAAGTCATATATGGCAGAATTGATAAAGATATAAAAAATTAAAATCAGAAGTAAAAATAAAAGGCATGATTTATTTTTTGTTATTGTAGCCACAGTTTTTTATAGTTTAAATTTTATTTTTAATATTCACATGGTTGAGAGGGATATGTGTCATGTGGGCCTCCAATTAGGGTTGGGGAGGGCTGAGGAGCGGCGAGGTAGGTGAGCGAGAGGGATGTCTCAGTTCTTTCTTTTTTCTTCCTCCTGTGTTGCGAGGCAGGGGTGGGAAGATGTGTGAAAGGCACCATTTTAACATTTGAGCTTTACATTTGAATGATTTTCATATTTAAATATGAATTTCAGTTTTGAATTTTCTGGTGTGCAAGGCCAAGAAACACATGGTATAGAATTCTTACCACCTGATAAGTAAACACATTTGCAATTAATACAAAAAGATTATTTCTTGATACCAAATTCTGAATTTGTAGCAAAATTCTCCTGTAAAGGACTTACATATTAAACAATAAACTTAATTTTAAATTATTATTCCCCATTATTTACTTGATACGTACTAAAAGATAAATTTGTATTACAATTTGGTTTGTTAAGATCGTCTATGTGGAAATACTAATATGTCACAGCTTAGATACACTTTTAAGTAGTTTCACTTAGTGAAAGTAATATTTGCTTATTAAGCCTTTACTATTTGAAACTGCATTTATGTGTCATAATTTTGATTAGCTAGATGACAATTCAGAATAAGGATACAAAGTCATCTATTATTTATTGAAGGAAAAATATATGGTAAGAGCACAAGTGGATGTGTCTGTGGGTGATGCGTACATAAGCAGGCGGTATGCTTTGAGAGTCAATGAGGTTGACATTTATTCTCCTGAGATGAATAATAACATATTTGATCATTCTTTGCAGCTTTCAATGGCTTTTTTTTTTTTCACGACTGACTCGTATAGTCGTCCCCAAATCTCCCTGCCGCGGGCACACATGAAGAAGCAGAAACAGAAGCAGAATTCCACTCAGAAACTCTGACAAGAATAGGGTGGTACCTATTCTATTAAAGCCGGTGCATCTTATAAGAAAGAGAGGAAGAGAGAAACAAATGTAAGTCTGAAAATTACACACAATGACAGTTTTCTTTTCTTTTGTATTTAAATAGTAGAGAATTTTTTTTTGTTTGTTGCTGCTATTGTTTTCGCCGTTGCACATAGAACAGATTATTCTGCCTTGAATTGTATTTCTTAATTAAGACCTTATTGTTTACAGTTTGGTGTTTATCGTAAAGCCTTTCCTACAATATCTGCCCATGTGATTGGTAACTATGCAGCTTACCCACACATAGCTTGAAAACACTGATTGATGGAATGAAATTACTTAGCATTGGAGAGGCTGGTGTTGTGGCACAAAGGATTGGATCTCTGCAATGCCAGCATCTCCTAATGTCCCTGGGAAAGCAGTGGGAAATGGTCCAAGTGTTTGGGCCCCTGCCACCCACGAGAACCTGGAGGGTGCTCTGGGTTCCTGGCTTCAGCCTGTCCATGCCTCAGCCATTGCAGCCAGAGGGGAGTGAATCCATGGATGAAACATTCACCCTCCCCCCACCCTGTAACTCTGATGTCCAAATGAATTTATTTTTATAGGAGACAAATATTTAAAGATGAGACAGAGAAAAAGATCTTCTGTCTTGCTGGTTAATTCCTCAAATGGCTACAATGGCCAGAGCTAAGCCGATCTGAAGCCAGGATCCAGGAGATTCTTCCAGGTCTCCCACACGGGTACAGAGTCCCAAGACTTTGGGCCATCCTCTATAGTTTTCCCATTCCACAAGCAAAGAGTTGGATGGGAAGTACAGCAGCTGGGACACAAACCGGCACCCGTATGGGGTCCCAGGCATGCAAAGCAAGGACATTAGCCACTAGGCTATCACACCGGGCTCAGACAAATCTTTAAGAAAAAGAAATTACCGGGCCTGGCGCGGTGGCGCAAGTGGTTAAGTCCTCACCTTGCACGCCCGGGATCCCATATGGGCGCCGGTTCTAATCCCGGCAGCCCCGCTTCCCTTCCAGCTCCCTGCCTGTGGCCTGGGAAAGCAGTCGAGGACAGCCCAAAGCTTTGGGACCCTGCACCCGCGTGGGAGACCCGGAAGAGGCTCCTGGCTTCGGATCGGCATAGCATTGGCCGTTGCGCTCACTTGGGGAGTGAATCATTGGACGGAAGATCTTCCTCTCTGTCTCTCCTCTCTGTATATCTGCCTTTTCAATAAGAAAATAATAATAAAAAAATAAATCTTAAAAGAAAAAGAAATTACCCAGTGTTTATTTGTCTTGAAAATAGAAAGTATTTCCCATAAATAGAAACACTAATTTTAGCATAATTTATATTAATCTGCTTTTTTGGTATGGTATGTAAGGACATTAGCTTAAAGACGTGATAGTCTTTATGCCAGGAGTGTAACAGAACTTATAAGGCTTTATAACTGGGACACATTCAAAAATATAATACAAAGTGAAGGGCCAGTATTGGAAAATATTTTTTAAACAGAAAGTCACATAGTAGCTACATTTGCCTAAAATTTAATTCTGAGTGTCTTAGAAGTCAAAATGGGAGAGGAAATGAATCAGTTATGTAATTCTCCCTGATAGGAAAAAAATTTATTTTGCAGAATTTCATTTAGGGACTATTTGATAATATGTCAAACGCACTCCCAATAAATATATTATGACAAATGTACTGTTTCTTACCTGTTTGTGCAAAAAGTTAATTGTAAAAATTTGTTTCATCTGAAAGCCAGAAAAACATGAGAGAGCAAGAGAGAGGACAGAGCGAAACAGACATCTCTCATCCCCTGGTGCACTCCCCAAATGCCACCGACACCTGCAGGGCCAAAGCAGGAAGCCAGGAACTCAGCCCAGAGCTTTACTGTGGCTGGCAAAAACCCAACTGCTTAAGCCATTATCTGCTATTCTCCCATTGTACGTATTTACTGATATTAGAAGTGCTACCATTGTACATGTATAAGCTGATATCAGAAGTCCCGGTAGCTGGCCAGTGGACAACTGCCCCTGGCCAGGCCTTCCTATATGGGCTGTGGGCGTCCTAAGTGGAATCCAAATTGCCATATTGAATCCCTCTCTTTATGCAAGTTAGTTATTTAAGAATAAATAGAGCAAAGAAGGTTAAAATAGCATCTTGTGTTACACATGTTGAAACTTTCGGTAATGGCTGTACCTCCAAAGGTTTATAACATTTTTAAATGTGAGAAGAAATTCATGCTTGGCAGAGCCTGAAATGAGGTCTAGCATCAAGAAGGGTGATAAATGGGTTGAAAACCCGATCCCATGGAGACAGTTGAGAGTACCTGCAGGGATTTCTAGAACTGACCAAAGATCAATGTAATTCATCAAATGTAATTTACTTTAAACAAGACAGGTGTTGCCAGAGAAACAGCTATTTCCCCAGCCTTTCGGGTGGTCAAAGAAAGCTGTTAGATTATGGAATCTAGGTGTATCATCCATCAATAATTAAAAAAAAAGTTTTTGATAAAATAATATACTAATGATCTCTAATGGTAAAAACCAAAAATATGGTTCTTTTATGAAGAAAATGTTAGATTGTGTTCCCTAAGTACTGATTAAAACATTGGGTTTTAATTTTACTTGTTGAAATTATTTTCTTTTCCCATGAGGTTTCCTTTGTACTTATACATTATTCTGAAGTATGCTATCGAAGGGCCCAAGTTGTGGCACAGTGGGGCTTAAGTGCCACCTGTGGTATCAGTATCCCATGTTGAAGAGCCGGATCGACTACTTGGGCCCCTGCACCTGCGTGGGAGACCTGACTCCTGGCTCCTTGCTCACAGCCCATTTGGGAAGTGAACCAGTGGGTGAAAGATCTCTTTCAGTCTCTTTCTTTTTCTCTCTCTTCCACTCTGCCTTTCAAATAATTTTGAAAAGAAATGTATTATATATTTATAAGTTAGTGATGGTTTTCACCTACTTCTCTATATCGGAGAACGGACCCTGCATACTTGACATGAACGTGTAGACTGTTGCTACACGTTGATATTTTGGAAATATCAACCAGAGCCTGTAGATTGATAGTAACTTCCAGGTTATCCCTGGCAACGTTCATCCATTAGCCTAATGGAGAATGAGCACGGAGAAAAGTGGTTGGAAGGTTTTTATGACATCACTTCCATTCAAATTCCATTGGTTAGAACTCAATCACATGGCTTCATCTAATGGTAAGGGAGACCTGGTTATGCAGCCCAGCTTTTTGCTTGGGAAGAAGAGGAAATATATTTGAACAAGCAGTTAGCAAACTTTCATTTTTCTGGAGGAACTTGTGTGAGACAAGTAATACTTGAATCATGGATATTCAGTAGAAATTTAAGTTATTGGGTTCCTGCTATTTTCTTTGGGGAAAATTCATTTTAATGTATACATGACTATTTCAATTTTCTGTCTCTTTCTGAGTCACTTTTTGTGAAACACATTTATACTATATGTTTTATGTAAGCCTTGAAATAAGCATAAATTTATTGAAGGTGTTTTCTTGTTTTAATCTCTGCTATATCGATGACAATGTTCTTCCATCATTGTTAATAGGTTCCCACGTTTTTGTTTTTGCTTTTGCTGTTTATAAAAGATTTCATTATTTGGACAGCAGAAGCAGAGAGAGAGAAAGAGAGAAAGATCTTCCATCCAGGTTCACTCCCCAAATGGCTGAAACTGCCAGAGCTGGGCCAGACAGAGCCAGGGGCTTCTTCCAGGTCTTTCCACCTTGAGCAAGCACTGAACTGGAAGTACAGCAGCATGAACTCAAACTGTTACCCATATGAGATACAAACATTGTAAGCAGCTCTACCTACTGAGCCACAAAGCAAGCTTTTTATTTTATTTTAATTTGATTAATTTTGGTAGAGATTTGTCAGTTCTACTAGTCATTACCAAAAATTTTGTTTTGATTTAATTAATTCCTGCTACCATTTGCTTCCTCTACATTCTTTGGGTTTATTCTGCTGATCTTTTCCAACTTGTAATTTGGAATACTGAGTCTATTGTTTTTAACCTTGTTTTCTAACACATAATTTTGAGCTATCCACTTTTCCATTCACTTTTATACCAACTTGATGCTGCTTCTGAACTCAGAGCCCAACCTATATTATAGCCACTACTATTTTTTCTGATACTTTTCTTATTTTGTCCGTAAAGATTCTTATATTTGGGGCCCGGCGCCATGGTCTAGTGGCTAAAAGTCCTTACCTTGAATGCACTGGGATCCCATATGGACGCCGGTTCTAATCCTGGCAGCTCCACTTCCCATCCAGCTCCCTGCTTGTGGCCTGGAAAAGCAGTTGAGGATGCCCCAAAGCTTTGGGACTCTGCACCTGCATGGGAGACCTGGAAAAGAAGTTCCTGGATACTGGCTTCAGATCAGCGCAGCACCGGCCATTGTGCTCACTTGGGGAGTGAATCATCAGACGGAAGATCTTCCTCTCTGTCTCTCCTCTCTGTATATCTGACTTTGTAATAAAAATAAATAAATCTTAAAAAAAAAGATTCTCACATTTGAATAGAACTTTCTTCTTAGTATAGATTTTATCTATCATGTTTATCATTCAATAGTATGTGATATTTCCTTATGCCACCATAACAGTGGCTCTGAGTAGGACCACTGTTCCACAAATGGCACATCTGGTAGTGTCTGGAGCTATCATTGGTGCAATACACATCTTCTGTCAAAAAAAAAAAAATAATATTGAAGCTGAGAAGCCTTACATTAAGTAAAAATACTATGTTCTTATATGTATAAGTTTATTTGGCTTTCCTAATTCGAGTTGTTTGGATTTTTGTTTTAAACATATCACCATGAGAGTCTTATATAATTTTTTTATTCTTCTTAATTAATTCCTGAACTAAAAACACAAAGTTTGAGAGGCACTATCTTAATGTTAGAAATCAGGAAACAGGGCCCGGCACGGTGGCGCAAGTGGTTAAGTCCTCGCCTTGCACGCCCGGGATCCCATATGGGCACCGGTTCTAATCCCGGCAGCCCCGCTTCCCTTCCAGCTCCCTACCTGTGGCCGGGAAGGCAGTCGAGGATGGCCCAAAGCTTTGGGACCCTGCACCCGCGTGGGAGACCTGGAAGAGGTTCCTGGCTTCGGATCGGCATAGTATCAGCCGTTGCGCTCACTTGGGGGAGTGAATCAACGCACGGAAGATCTTCCTCTCTGTCTCTCCTCTCTGTATATCTGCCTTTCCAATAAAAAAATAATAAAAATAAATCTTTAAAAAAAAAAAAAAGAAATCAGGAAACAACAACAAAATCTTTAGTATGTCATATCCTAGTGGGATTGTCTAATATGTTCTTGTACAAAAACACATTCTAAACTAGTTTTATTATTCCTTATCCTTTCCCCCAAATAACATACTACTTAGTCATCTTAGGACTCCTCCTAGATTCTATGTTGCCTTCTGTGAAAGCTTTCTAAATTTTGCTATCTGCTTAAGTGGCAGATTTCAAAATCTTTATGAAGAGTTGACCTAGTTGACCATAATTGCTAGACTTTTTTTTTTATTGTTAACTCTTTTGATTCTTAATACTTGCCAGTATTAAAATGATTGGTAACAGAACCAGGAGAACAGAAAGAAAGAGAACATTTGCTTTAATTTACTGCACAACTCAGTTCAACTGTTTTTCTTACATGGGCCTCAATTTTACTATTGATTAAATGGAGGGTTAGCACTCCATAATTCCTTTAAGCTTTTTCAGTGATAAAATTTATGATATGCTATTACTTTGTATTGCTTTCATTTAGCTTCTGTGGTATTTCACAGTTCTTGGTATAAACAACTTTTAAAAATTTCTAAGACCTTAGGAGTTCCTCAGAATGTTCCTTTATTACCCTTTCCTACCTTCTTATACTGACTGATAATGTAAATCTTAAAAGTCCCTTATGTTGGAGGACTGCCAGGGACGTTACTAGAGAAATAACAAAAATTCACAGCTGCACTGGAAAAGAAGAAAACCAGACCAAGAAAGAAGCAGGTGACAGCTATACAAAAACAAAATCCAGGTTTCAGATCCTAGTGCGGTCAAAGAAATGTGCCTTGGGGGCCCAGTGCAGTACCTAGTGGCTAAATCCTTGCCGTATGGGTGCCATTTCATGTCCTGGTGGCCCCACTTCCCCATCCAGCTCCCTGCTTGTGGCCTGGGAAAGCAGTCGAGTTTGACCCTGCACCCACATGGGAGACCTGGAAGAACCTCTAGGCTCCTGGCTTTGGATCAGCTCAGCTCCGGCCGTTGTGGCCACTTGGGGAATGAATCAGCGGACAGAAGATCTTCCTCTCTATCTGTCCTCCTCTCTGTATATCTGACTTTCCAATAAAAATAAAGAAAACTTTTTTTAAAAATGTGCCTTGGGGCTTAAATTTGTAGGAGGCTGTGTGTGATTCCCCAAGAAAGGATCCTAAAGTGCATTAAAATTGCATATGATCAGAAATCAGGTCTGTCCTGGCTAATGTCATAACAATAATATTTTTAAAATCATATCATTTTATCTAGAGAATGAAAACACATGTGCAAAATTATCTTTTGTAATCTATTTGTATAGGTTTTTTTAACCAGTTAACCTACTTTCTGGCTGCTGGCGCTGTCAGTTTGGGAATCGGCTTCTTTGCTTTGGCGTCAGCTTTGTGGTTTCTGATTTGCAAACGAAGGTAAGATTTACTCAAATTTTTGTTCAACTGTTTTTTTTTCCTTTTAAAAATCCAGTGAAGGACTTTTTCAAGTGTTATCAAACTTAAATAAATATAGTAATACTGATTCTGTAATTTGGGATTTGGTGTTAGATGCTTTTGTCAGGTTAGATGCAACATAAATTTTAACTAGCCTGAAAGGAGAAGACCGAGAGTAATATGAGGTACTTTAAGGAAAAACAAAAACTTTCGGAAAATGGACTAAAAGGTAAGTCTGTTTTGGTGAGGAAAAAAATTAAATCCTTTTAAGCACCTCCATGTAATAGCAATCATTATGCATCAAAATTTTGAGGAATGACAAGACTAACTCAATATTTTACACAACAGGGATTTGATTATAAGGCTATATAACTGTAAAAGTTCAGCTTTCAATGTAGAGGTTGAAGACGTTACCAAGAGATGAGGGAGGCATTTGGTTTGGTGATGCCAAGTGAGGATGCCAATATCCCAAATGGGAATGCCTGGGTCCAAGTTGAGGCTCTAGTCCTGCTTCAGCTTCAGCAGACTCTGGGAGGCTGCAAATGATGGCTAATGAATTAGGTCTCTGGCACCCATGAGGGAAGTCTGGACCATTTTCTAGGTTCCTGGCTCCAGCCCTTCACCCTCCCCACCTTGCCCTCACCCCACAACCCTGATTGGGGGATCGACCAGCAGATGGAAGATTTCTGTGTTCTCTCGCTCCTTCTCCTTTCCCCTCTCTTTCCTTTCTATCAAATAAGTGAAAACCATTTGAAACACTGAATGCACTGCTGAAAGAGAAAGACACTGTTTCTTTAGCAGCTATTTAAGAAAATGGCTGGGCTGACATTGTATGCAGCAAGTTAAGCTGCTTGTTAGTGCCAGCATCCTGTATGAGCACTGGTTCAAATCTTGGCTGCTCAACTTCCATACCACTTCCCTGCTAATATGCCTGGAAGATCAATGAAAGATGGTCCAATTGCTTGATGTCCCTGCACCCACATGGGAGGAGATCTGATAGAGTTTCAGCTCTTGGTTGGTGTCAATCTAGTCCAGTCCCAGATTTTGGAGGCCATCTAGGGAATGAATCATCAAATGGAAGATTCTCTCTCTCTCTCTAACCGTACCTTTCAAATAAATAAAGTTTTTAAAATAAGAATGAAGCTAACAGAATGCTCTGTATGATCTATAACAATCTCTTTCCAAAATCAGAAAAAAAAAGATTGACAACAGTTCCTTTCAACTCTAAAAGCTGGTGTTTCTACTCATTTAATCAATTCAATATGTGTATCATCAGTTTATAAAGCATGCATCTTTACATAATCTTCTCATGATCTTCTAGTGTCCCCTGTCCCATCCCATGGGCACTTACTACCTACCCATTCACATTTATAACTCAGAACCCTTGAGTTTATTCACTAATGTGTTCCTCCATCCGGTATTTAGTGTATGCTCACAGTTTTTTAGTAATTGAAGATACAACTGTGAACAAGTCCGATAAAGTTCATGTTTCATACACTTACAGTTATTGGACAAATAGATCAAGTGGTCAGGGAATGCTGAACAAGTAGGCCGTGCTTAATCTGAGACCTGAGTTAAAAGCAGCAGCCAGATACATGAAGATCTAAACTACAAAGCATACAGGGTGCAAATGAAGACTCATGGAAGGAGAATGATCTTGACACACAAAGATCAGTGGGAATAATTTGCAATGAGTTTCTATCATGAGATTGAAGAAGTAAGTTAAGGGCTGCATCACACAGAAATTTGTAGACTGGAAAATGGAGTTTAGATTTTAATACTTGGGTCATTGGGAGATTTTAAACAGAGGAATGGTACAATTATCATGATAGCTAACATTGTTTATTTTATATATATTTTTATATGTATATTCTATATATATATAATTTTATGACACAGTTTCATAGGCTCTGGGATTCCCCCAGCCCCTTCACAAACCCTCCCCCCATATTGAATTCCTCCATATTGTTAGTATGGTACAGTTTATAATCAGTCATGATTCCTTCATTGTGGGCATGGACCATGCAGAGAGTCCAGCATCTTATTGTCCAGATAAATTCAACGGTTTCTTGGGGAGACCATCCTTGGTCTGAAAGCAGAGCTGGAAGAATATCATCCCCTCCAATTAGATGTTACTACACAACTTCAACAATAGGAGGAAACATCAAAATTAACAACATTATGAAGTAAATTAACATGGTATTGAGTGACCAATATGATAGGCACTATTCTAAGTGTTTTGTATGTTGCCTCCTTTAGACTTAGCTGCATGAAGTAGAAGTATTATTATCCCCATCTTAAAGACTATGATGCCTACCAAAGTTAAATTATGCTGTTTTAATGCTTCTTTAAAATTGGAATTTAACTGACATATAATATAGTTCACAGATCTTAAATGTCTAATGGTGAACCTCAACAAATAATATACTGAAAGAACTACCACCCAGTCAAGCTATCACACTTCTATCACTCTAGAACTTTACTTCATGCTTCTTTTTTCCAGGCCTCACTCCCCATCTTCTATCTGAATCTCTTGCAGGAAGTTTTTATGTGTTAGTCAGAAATTGCTAATAAATGGAGCAATATAAGTCGAGAAGAATATGGGGTCAAATTTTTTTCTGTCCTAAAAATATAAGACGTGCTTGATGTCTCCTTTCCTCCTTTCCATTCTCACTAAATTTGAATTATCACCAAGCTCTATTTGTTTTCTTGCATAAGTTGCTTATATCTATTAATTTCTCTCCATTACCACTGTCACCTCCAAATCCCGGCTATCACTATCCCCTACATAGACCATTACAGTTGGAGTCATAACTGACCCCTTCCCTTCACTGTTGGACTCACTTCACTGTTGGACTCACTTGATCTCTTCTACAAATCTTTCAGAATGCAAATATGATCAAGTCACCCTGCTCTTCTCCTTCCCCTCGCTGTATTTTAAAGAACTGCTCATTGCTTGAAAAAATGGAAGAAGAAAGATTTATTTATTTATTTGAAAGGCAGAGAGAGAGTAAGGCTTTTCATCCACTGGTTTACTCCAAAAATGGCTACAGCAACTGTGTCTAGAACAAGCTGAAGCCAAGGACCAGAAATTCCACCTTGAGTTCCCACATAGATGGCAGGGGGCCAAGTATTTGGGCTGTTTGCATTGCCCATCCAGGCACTTTATTTATTTATACTTTTTAAAAAAAGATTTATTTTTAAATGTTTTTTTTTTTTATTGGAAAGGCAGATATACAGAGAGGAGAAAGATCTTCCATCTGATGGTTCACTCCCCAAGCGGTCGCAACGGCTGGAGCTGAGCCAATCCAACCCAGGAGCCAGGAGCTTCTTCTGGGTCTCCCACGCAGGTGCAGGGTCCCAAAGCTTTACACCTTCCTGCACTGCGCAGTCAAGGCAAGGACTTTAATCACTTCGCTATCGCACTGGGCCCAAAGTTTTGTAATTTTACCATACAGTTTCATAGGCTCTGGGATTTCCCATACTCCCACCCAAATTTCCCCTACATTATTACAACAGTATAGTCCTGAACCCAGTGGCATGGTTCGGTGGCTAAAGTGCTCACCTTGAACGCACTGGGATACCATATGGGCGCCAGTTCTAATCCCGGCAGCTCCACTTCCCATCCAGCTCCCTGCTTGTGGCCTGGGAAAGCAGTCGAGGATGGCCCAAAGCCTTAGGACTCTGCACCCAAGTGGGAGACCTGGAAGAGGTTCCTGGTTCCCGGCTTTGGATCGGCCGTTGTGCTCACTTGGGGAGTGAATCATTGGATGGAAGATCTTCCTCTCTGTCTTTCCTCCTCTCTGTATATCTAACTTTATAATAAAAATAAATCTTAAAAAAAATAGTATAGTCCTTCATAATAGTTATAAGCTCGTCATTCTGCTATTTAAGTGTTTCTGACACTACAGGTATGGACAATGACAGAAAAGTCCAGCATCCTATAGTCAAGATATATTTAGCAGTTTCTTTGGGAGTTCATCTTTGATTTGGAAGTAGAGATGTATATTGACTGCATTGTATCTTCACATCTGGATATAACAGTCTCTGTTGCAGTTGCTATACATTCCCTTAAATAAAAGCCATAAAACAAAATCAAAAACAGGAATAAAGTGAAAAAAAAAAAAACCTTTACAACGGTACCCAAGCACGTCAGCAGAAACCTGGATCATAAGCAGCACAGCCAATACTCTACACTGTAAACTGGGATGCTGGTGTCTCAAATTACAGCGTCATCCCTTCCCCACCTGCACTGCTTTTAGGATAAAGACAACATGACATACATCTTCAGGCCCCAATTTCTGCTCCTCTATTTATAATTCTTTTCAAGGTTCATGACTATCCTTTAATGAATGCAAATATTTGTAGAAACTGTAAGTATCAGACCCAAGGAAGACCCAAATGAGTTCTATTTCCAAAATCTCTATCCTCTGAACTCAAGTTGATCCTCCAATTCCTCCTTCATTCCTTTTTCTTTCCTCTTTCTTTCTTGCTTGCTTGCTTTTTTTCAATACAATTCCGTAGACAGGATTTCCCCTCCCCTCTCTTCCTCTCTAATTCCTCTCCTGTCACTGATTCACTTGTTACAATAGTATAGTCCTTCAATGCCACACTTTCCCTCTTGTTTTCTTTGTTTATTCTCCATTGTCCTAATCTCGACACTCAGTCTTTCTTGATATTATTTTCTGCCTGGAATATTGTTACTTACACATGATCCTCTTGCACCAAATTCTCCCTAATAGGTAATACTAAATGTCTCAGCCTTCCTTGTCCTTTCTGACCAGGTTAATTTCCTCTGTTTCAATCACACAGTACCATTGACACCGCTTTACACATATGTAAATTTTCTTGTGATTATTCTTTATTGTGTACCTTCCTTGCTATTGTTTTTGCTCTGTGAGAACAATGACATAGGGATACTTGTACTTTCTTCTCCCACCACTATACACACACCCTAAAGAAGTTAGTAGAGGTGTCGACACCACGGTTCAATAGGCTAATCCTCTACCTTCAAGTGCTGGCATCCCATATGGGCACCAGTTCATGTTCCAACTGTGGAAAATGGCCCAAGTCCTTGAGACCCATGTGGGAGACTGACAGGAGGCTCCTGACCCCTGGCTTCAGAATGGCTCACCTCCAGCCATTCTGACCATTTAGAGAGTGAACTAGTGGCGGAAGATGTTTCCCTCTCTGTCTCTCCTCTATGTAAATTTGTGTTTCAAATGAAATAAATAAATCTTTTTTTAAACAGTTAGTAGAATGATGACATTAAAAAGTAACTGCATAAAAAAAGGTAATTGCATAGTCGCCAAAATTTCTTGAAAGTCATCTATAATTTTTCATAATATGCATCTTTCATGAACTTTTTGTAAAAGAATCAGGTCTGGGATCACCTCAGACGAAGTTTCTTTGGAGATCCCTCCAACCGAACTGCTGATTTCAGAACCCCAAGCATGAAGAGACTATGTCAGCCAGTAGATTCTGAATAGGTTTCATTGCGATTGGAGCGGCGAGATGGGCAGCAATCCAGAACTGTTGAACTGTCAAAACTGTTTGAGCAGAACCCTCGGAGTGTGCCTCCTGTTGGGGATCTGGGATGGGTGGGAGGCTGGGTGGGGCTTTTCCCTTTGTTACTCCCCTGACCTCAGATACAGGGGAAAAATGATAAGATTAGTGTGGAAACAATGGTTTAACCCACTTTCACCCTGTAGCCTTTGACCCTTTGTACCCTAATCAACTAAATAAGATTATTAAAAAATAATTTTAAAATAATAAATAAAATTGCACAATATGCAGCCTTCTCAGATTGCCTTCTTGTACTTAATAGGTGTTTAAATTTTCCCCTTGTCTGTTCATTGCTTAACAGATCACTTCCTTTTAGTGCTGAATAATAATCCATTTTCAAAAAGTATTATTTTTCAAATGCTTAAGTTTAGGGTGATCTTTGAAACTGTTTCGCCTATATCTATCTTTTTTGTGATCAGCTGAGGTTTTTAACAGATAAGAACCAGAAAAAAGTATCTCAAAGATTTTTGCTTACTATTCATACTGGAACTATTAACCCTGCATAAGTGGCCTAATTTACCTTCTGTAAATGAAACAGAAGATTTAATACACATTGCAGAAGAGTAAAATACATATAATGACACCTTACGTGAAGATAGAGTATATAAACTGATTTATGCTTTAAAAAAAATAAACACTATAGTGCATTGAATCTTTCTTGAAGTTTTGGTATATACATATCAGAATAATTTCAATTGGTTAATAACCCCTATAAAATTTTTTTTCAGAGAAATATTTCAAAATTCCAAATTTAAAGCAGCTGATGAGAAATGCATGCAAAGTTCATCGAAGATTAAATCGCATTCACAGTGTGTTTTTATTTCTCGAAACTTTCATACTGGAAGATTCCAATTACAGGTAGAACATATTTCATAGCAATCTTTCCAAATAAGTTCTTTTGATACTGTGTCATTAGCTTATTATTTTTAAATTTAATGAACAGAACACATACTATTTTTAGTTTGAGAGATTAATACAGCTCTAAGTGGAAATTGCCAGAACTGATTAAAGTTTATACTATAGAAAAACTAAGAAACATATACTATGTTCTGTGGTTGTTTCTCTACATCATTAGCTCAAGAACCCGCATTCTCCCTATCGATACTGTTATTAGGAATGAAGCGAAATAACAAGAAAAACTGATCACTACGTATTGATATAGTGCTGGCTTTCGTTTGCTAACATTTTGTTGAAATGTTTGCATGTATGTTCATCAAACATATTGGTCTGTAGTTTTCTTTTTTGTATCGTGTCTTTGCTTGTTTTTCATGTCAGAGGGATGCTGGCCTCATAAAAAAAATTCTGTAATTTTCTGTATCTTGGAATAGTTGAAAAAGTATTGGAGTTGGCTCCTCTCTAAGTGTTTCTTGGAATTCAGAAGTTCATTAATTGTGACAGGCAATAATATAAGCTATTAACAGGTGAAATGAGGTGAGGGATATATGGAAACTCTTATTACCTCACAATTGTTTGATGGCGATTTGAAATTATTCTGAAATTTGGCATTTTTTTTTTGTGGAAAAACAGAACACACAATTATCAGGCCTGTCAAAGAAATTAGGGAATGAGAAATACTCAAATAACTCATTCAAATAAACTAATGAAATTCAGTTTGACAAGAATATATTAAATCATTGTGGTATTCAAAGTGTTGGGTGCTCCTGTTGGGACTTCTAAGATAGAGCCCTTACATAACTTCTGTATCACAATTGAGAAATGTGGGCACACTGTTAAATGTGCCAGATGGTAAGCGTCAAAATAGTGTTATGCATCAAAGTAAAACAACATAGAGAACAGTAGAAATGCAAAACTGTGATGTCCCTAAGCAAAACAAATGCTTTAGTGATTCTGTGGCATTGGTAGTGACTAACTGACGTCAAAGCTTTACTACACATCTTAAGAATTGAACTTAAGTTGGGACTGGCATTGTGACTCAATAGGCTAGTCCTCTATTTTCAAGTGGCCACTGGCTTGTGTCCAGGCTGTGCCACTTCTGGTCCACCTCCTTGATATTGAGAACCCATCATATGTTAGGCATTGCAGTAGGTACTAATGATTTAATGATGCCCTCATGTTTAATGGAAGATAGATACAAATAGACAAGTATAAAAGTATCATGAAGGCAATTTAAATTAATTTTGTTTTTATTATTCAATTAACAAATAAGTGGAGGAGCTTCAAAAGTATTGTGGAAAATGGTATTAAAAAGTCATAGTCTAGGGCCCAGCGCGGTGGCGCAGTGCTTAAGGTCCTCGCCTTGCACGCCCGGGATCCCATATGGGCGCCAGTTCTTTTCCCGGCAGCCCCACTTCCCTTCCAGCTCCCTGCCTGTGGCCTGGGAAAGCAGTCGAGGATGGCCCAAAGCTTTGGGACCCTGCACCCGCGTGGAGACCTGGAAGAGGCTCCTGGCTTCGGATCGGCATAGCATTGGCCATTGCGCTCACTTGGGGAGCGAATCATCAGATGGAAGATCTTCCTCTCTGTCTCTCCTCTCTGTATATCTGCCTTTCCAATAAAAAAATAACAAAAATAAATCTTGAAAAAAAGTCATAGTCTAGATTCTCCAAGAATTTTATGAAGTCCCCCTTGTATGCCAAGAATTGTTCTAGGAAATTGGGAATTTGGTGATGAGTGAATGAGTTTTATGGAGTTTACTTTCATGAAGTTTACAGTGTGAGGGAAAGATACAATATACATTATAAAAGCAAACACAAGATATTATTTGGGATTTAGAATTCTGTTCTTAGTTTTTTAATTAACAAAATCTGTATATATATATATATATGTAACATGTGAACATGAAGTTTTGAAATGCATATACTCTGTGGAGTTACTAAATTGAGCAGTGAACAGACATTGCCTTAAATATGTTTCTTTTAGCCTGAACACTTAAAATCTACTCTTTAGAGTTTTCAAGAATTTATTGTATTGATTATAGTTACTATATTGTGTGATACGTTTCTTGAGCTGTTCCCACCCCACCTCAACCCCTAGCATCCGCCATTCTGCACCGTACTTCTATGAGTTCAGCTTATTTAGATTCCACTATGAGTAAGATCATGTGATATTCATCATTCTGAGTGTGGCTCTTATTTTATTAACATAATATTCATCCATGGTGCAGTAAATAACAGCATGCCCTACCTTTTTAAGACTATTATTTGGGATTTTTAATAGCCAATGATAGGAACAAGGAAACGTAAAAAGATAAAGTAGTGCTAACCTCAGGCACAATGCTTTTTTTTTTCCTGTCTCAGTGTCTGTCTGCCATGGCAGGGGGATGAAAATTACAATAAAATTGTGATCTAATACACTTAAGAGCTATAGCTTGCCTTTTTATAAAATATTTTATTGAGAGACATTTCACACAGAAGAATAAGCACATACACAATTTAAAGCATTATAAATGGAATATTTTAATATTTACAGTTTTACCATGTGAATTTAAATAGACATTAATATTGTGTTTTTGAACTCCATATCTAATTTCTCTTTTTATTGCAGTGTTACATTTCTGAGATTCAAAGCATATAACCAAGTTCATTATTGTTGCTGTTATTTGGCTTCTTTTTTTTTTAAGATTTATTTATTTTTATTGGAAAGTCAGATACACAGAGAGGAGGCGAGACAGAGAGGAAGTCTTCCATCCATTGATTCACTCCCCAGCTGACCTCAACATCCAGAGCTTCACTGATCCAAAACCAGGAGCCAGGAGATTCTTCTAGGTGTCCCATGTGGGTCCAGGGTCTCAAGGCTTCGAATCACCACCAACCTCTTTCCCAAGCCACAAGTAGGGAGCAGAATGGGAAGCAGAGATGCCGGGATTAGGATAAACAGCTATATGGGATCCCGGAGCATGCAAGGTGAGGACTTTAGCCACTAGGGTACCGCACCAGGCCCTGTTATTTGGCTTCTTTCAGATGGTATGTGGCCAACACCTGGGTGGTTATAGTTGCTTTCTCAGGAAACTTCTATAAATATTATATTTCCTAGGGAATCGCTGCATCATGGAGGAGCTACTTGGCAAACATTAATAGATTATTTAAAATTATTTTCCAAAAAAGCTGTATTAATATACATCCCCCTTAAGACATGCATAAGTGTTCTATAGTTCCAGTAAATATTGATATTTTTAGGCTACACACTTTCAGCAATCTAATGAACATTTAATATTTCGTTGTAGTTTTTTAAACATCAATTTTTTTCAAGCCATTTCACAGCAAAACTGAGTAAAAAATGAAAGTCCTGTAGATCCCTGCCCCACACATGCACCTTTCACCACACTGTCAACAGCCTTCTCCAGTGTCCGTTTAAGAGTTGATAAACTCGGGCCCGGCGCGGTGGCTCAAGTGGTTAAATCCTAGCCTTGCACGCCCGGGATCCCATATGGGCGCCGGTTCTTATCCCAGCAGCCCCGCTTTCCTCCCAGCTCCCTGCCTGTGGCCCGGGAAAGCAGTCAAGGACGGCCCAAAGCTTTGGGACCCTGCACCCGCGTGGGAGACCCGGAAGAGGCTCCTGGCTTCAGATCGGCATAGTATCAGCCGTTGCGGCTCACTTGGGGAGTGAATCATCGGACGGAAGATCTTCCTCTCTGTCTCTCCTCTCTGTATATCCCCCTTTCCAATAACAAAAATAAATCTTTTAAAAAAAAAAAGAGTTGATAAACTCATATCGACACATAATCCAAAATCCACACTTTATACTCTTGGTGTAAGATATGTTCTATGACAAATTGACAAGTATCCCCAATTATACTATCACCACCAAAACAGAGTCATTTTACTAGCCCCCAAATCCTTCTGCTGCTCCAGTGCCTAAATTCCTGCACATTAACCCCAAGCAAATCCTTCCTGCTTTTTTGTTTCCAATATAATTGCTTTTTCCAGAATGTCATGTAATCGTAATCATGTAACACACAGCCTTTTTAGGTTGGTTTCTTTCACTTAAAAATGTTCAATTATGATTCCTTCATGACCTTGATGGCCCATTTCTTTTTAGTGCTCAATAGCATTGGATAGCTACACCACAGTTTGTTTAATTTACTCTCTGTGGAAGAAACTCTCCATTGCTTGCAAGTTTTGGTGAATATAAATAAAGCTTCCATATACGTTTATGTAGACATGAGTCGTTTTCAGCTCATTAAGGTATATGCCAAAGAACACTGTCATTGCCGCCTACAGTAAGGATGTGTGCAATGAAAGAAGAAACTGCCTGCGAATCTATGTCCCTTGTGGTTTTATCAGTTTGCATTCTGACTAGCAATGAATGGAATATTTCTTACTCCACATCCTCCCCAGCAGTGGGTGGTGTCAGTGTTTGGGACCTGCACCATTTGACCCTAATAGATACCTAATGAGCTCTTCTTATTATACTCTGTGTTTCTTTAGTGCCATATGATGTTAAGCACCTTTTCATATGATTACTTGACATTTGTATATCTTTTTTGGTATGATGTTCATTTACATCTTTTTTTTTTCTCTTTAACACTTTTTTACTTTGGTGTACATCCTAAGTATTGGGAAACTCTTATGTGACTACAGGGTGTTTTTAAAATTCAGTAAATCTAGTATTTATTTAATATTTTAATAATCTACAGCTTTTTAAATCTTTTTTTCCAATGATTTTCTTTCAAAAAAAGATTTATATGTTTTTATTGAAAGTCAGATACACAGAGAGGAGGAGAGACAGAAAGGAAGAACTTCTGTCCACTGATTCACTCCTCAAGTTGCCACAACAGCCGGAGTTACGCCAATCAAAAGCCAGGAGCCTGGAGCCTCTTCCAGGTCTCCCACATGGGTGCAGGTTTCCAAGGCTTTTGGCCATCCTCCACTACCTTCCCAGTCCACAAGCAGGGAGCTGGATGGGAAATGTGACTGCCGAGACTTGAACCAGTGCCCATCACGAACCAGTGCCCATATGGGATCCTGGCGCATGCAAGGCAAGGACTTAGCCACTAGCCTCCAATGATTTTCTTTATAGAAGTTCTTCCCTCTAGTATATGATCCAGCTCAGAATCACATCTGTACTTAGCAGCCTTGTCTGTTCAGTCTTTTTAGATCCAAGACAGTTCCTCAATTCCTCTTTCTCTTTTAGAATATGGGCGGTGACTCTATGAGTAGACTGTTCTTCACTTTGATGTTTTCTATCTGAAGGCATACAATAATTGTTCTTAATTCATTATTTCAATTTGATTGCACAGTCAAGATAGTGTACTTTTGCCCCCACTGAATTAATAAGCAGCCTGTGTGCTGACACTGAAATCATGCAAATAGTCTTCCATTATCAAAACTAACTTACTTTTTAAAAATATTTATTTTTATTGGAAAGGCAGATTTTATAGAGAGAAGGAGAAACCAATTCTAAGATGCCATCAGCTTCACTGCTCAAGGATTAAGAAAAATCTAAGGCCTACTGGCTGACCAGGTGTACTTCTGTGTATCCACAGACCTAAACATTTGCTGTGAAGCCTGGCCAGGAGAGCTATTCAACTCACTCTGCTTTTCCACCTCTCATGTCACGAGGCTGATGCTGCAGCCTAACCCAGCCTGCCACAGGCCCAGCTCTCACACTGGCAGGTGCTGTGGCTTAGCCCACCACATTTTACATCTCATCTGGCTCTTGTGCACATCCATGGGTGTGCAATGTTGCTCATCCTGGCCTGCCCCCAGAACCAACCCATACACATGTGCTGTAGCCTTGTGCTCAACAGTGGGAGCTGTGGTCTTTCTGGTGAGTGCCCAGAGTTCCCCTGTTCTGTTCTAAGCCCCTGATCTTGCACTTGCTGACAGGTGCTATGGCCTAGCCTGGCATGGCCCAACCCCAGTCTTGTACTCACCAGCAGGTACTATAGCAGGCCCATCCCAGCTTGTCCCCAGTCACAGCTCTCATGAGTGGGTGCTATGGCTTAGCCCAGTCCAGCTCCACTCCCAATCCAGTTCCTTGCTTATGACCTGGGAAAGCAGTGGAAGATGGCTTAGATTCTTGGGCCCCTATACTCACGTGGCGGACCCAGAGGAAGCTTCTGGTGATTGGCATCGGATCAACTCAGCTCTGGCCATTGGTGGCCATTTGGGGAGTGAACCAGCGAAGATCTCTCTGTATAAATCTCTCCTTCCTTCTCTGTAATTTTTCCATTCAAATAAAACTGAATATATTTTTTTTAATTTTAAGAAAAGGACAAAGCATTTTGTGGGACAGAGGACAATCTGGTCAGCATAGAACATTAATATCTTCTCCTCCAGAACACAGAAGACTATTATTTCTTCAGCTTCATCCTCACCCCTGTATCCTAAACAATGGGTTAATCTAAGGAAGTCTGAATTAGAATCACTTGTAGAGTGTGTTATAGTACATATAGCCAAGTCTACACCCACAGAACATGTTTCAGGAGGATCTAATATTGACAACTCTCATACTAAGGCTAAGAATTAATGTTTTAAAGATCTGCTTACTGTTTTAAAAGGCAGTTACAGGGGGCAGGAAAGACAGAGATCTTCCATCTGCTGGTTCGCTCTCCAAATGGTTGCAATGGCCAATTCTGGACCAGATCAAAGATGGGAGCCAGTAGCTTCATCTGGGTCTTCCACAAGGGTGCAAGAGTCCAAGTGTTTGGATCATCTATCCAAGACCATTGTAGGGAGCTGGATCGGAAATGAAAAAGCCAGGATTTGAGCCAGTGACTTTATGGGATATCAGCCATTGTAAGAGATGGTTTAATGTCCTACACAGCAATGCCCACCCTAAGAATCAATATTTTAACAAATATACCAGGTGATTCTGATGCCCTAAAGCCAGAAATATTACACCACATACTTCCCAGACCACATCTGGTATGTGTGGTCTAACCAATGTCTTTAAAAGAATACTCCCATTGGTGTAAAAGGCCATCAGTACAGATATGCTTTGTTGGTGGTTACTTAAATGATTAAGCCTAGCAATTCCAATTACTTTTTAGCCTTCTCTAGTTCTGACCACTAACTAATCCAGTTAGTGGGACTGGAGAGAAGTAATCTTGATTGAAACTTCTGGATTCCCTGTCCTGGAGATTGTTTTCTTGGACCAATCCAAATACTTTCAGCTCTCTTTTTTTTTCTTTCCTGTCAGTTTATTCTGGTGAAATTCATGTTGTAAGAAAAACTACTTTCCTACATGATTTATGGTGTTAAAATTTATTACATAGATATGTAAATTAAATATATACCTTAAGATTGCATAAAAATATTCAATTTTTAAAATATAAATAACTTTTATGTAGGAGGAGCCAAGAAGAAAAGAAGCAACATGTATAAAAGGTATGTTTCTCTCAGCAGTTAATTACAACAAATCTTAATCAATTAATAGCAGTTTACACCTTTCAAGAATTAAGACACTATCATCAATGTCACTTGATTATCTAAAAGCCATACCAATTCAAGTGTAGCATTTATTTGTATGTGAATGGACTTTTTAAAGAAAAACAAAACTGGCAATATCTTATTTTGAGTTAAAATGTGAAATTACATTTTTATTTGTTTGTACTCATTTTGTCATGTAGAAACGCTTGAGGGTCAAAAAGACAGGAGGGTTTATTATAACCCTTTATGTATTGCATATATTGCAGTATCTCAAAACATTACTTCCCACCATAATTTTAGAAATGCCAACTATAAAATATAAAATATTCAAAATAGCTTTTCAAATTAGTATGCAAAACATTACAAAGCATATTTTAAATATTGTACAGAAATGATATTTTCTGAGGCTGGCTCCTTGGGACACAGGCTAACCGTCCGCCCTGTGATGCCGACATCCTGTATGAGTATCTGGTATCCTCTTATGTTCCAACTCCCTGCTTATTGTCTGGGAAAACAGGACAGGATGGCCCAAGTCCTTTGGGATCTTGTACCCATACGAGAGACGTAAAAGAAACTTCTGACTCCCAGCTTTGGATCAGCTCAACTCTGGCCATTGTAGCCCTTTAAAGAGTGAACCAGCAGATAGAAGACCTTCCCTCGCTATCTCTCTTTTTCTCTTTAAATCTGCCTTTCAAATTAAAAAAAAAAAAAAACTTAAAAAAATATTTTGTAAAACTTAGCAATTTTAAATACCAAATGTGCCACCTAATTAACATAATGAGAAAAGCATGAAACTTAGAGTAATGAAAATCTGGGTTAAAATCCATTTTTATTTCGTTTGTGAAGGATCATTTCTCCAAGTCTTAGTTTTTTGTGTGTGAAGTAGTGTTAATAATAATTACCTTAAAGACTCATTGAGAGTATAAATGAGCTATGGAAGTATGTTAAAATGCTTTGTAAATTGTAAAGCTCTCCAGAGATGTTTGTTATTTAGCCTATAAAACCCATCCACAGGACCTTCCAATTGGCTACCAAATATTCTGTGATTTTTGTTTTTTAAAATAAAATAGTATTTAACTCCAAATAGTTAAGAAACTATCTACCTTCTAGATGTTAAGTGGAAATTCAGATAAATTACCTCCTAGATGCCAAGGAAAATTCCATAGTTCAATTAATTTTAACAGTTTGAGCAATGCAAAACAAAAATCAAATTATGCTAATTGGGCTGCTCTTAAAACCACAGCTGATTCTGGGGATTCCAACCAGCATCATGATCAGATAGCATTCACAGAAAAAATGGAGGTAACAAATAGAACAAATAAGCTTAATTGGCTTCAGCCATATCACTCAAATAGTCAGTTGGTTACCATGTTTACAGCCTAATCAGGCAACTGGACACGGGGCCTTCTGCAGCCAAGGAAAGCTCATTTACCATGATGCAAGTTTATGTTGGTTTGGTCCTTTGGGCTCAGTGTAGAACCTGGTCCAAATCAATGGCTTTTTGCAGTTTTCTTTACCATAGGAAACATTCAGAACTGAGCTGTCTACCCTAATTAGATGTTTTCCCCTAGTAAAATAGTTTTTCTTTAGGCTAAGATTTTCTGCACTTGATTATCATGAGAATATTGCAGTTCCCGATTATACGTTGAACTGCACAGATGATGACAGCAACTCAGAACTGTCTTTATTCTTTCTCCCTGTCCATTGTAATCCTAAAGAATCTGCATTTTAAAAAAAGGAATGTTACCTTATGTTAAAATTTGGTTTGCAAATATTTACTGTTCATAATAAGTCTGATTTTTTTTTTCAGTTCAAGATCATCCTACAGATGAGCTTCATCCTGCAACACAAAAGGTCATTGGTCATCCCCCGAGGAGTAGCTCCTCTACAGACCTCAGCAGTACATTGAGCTTTTCAACATTACCACCTGGCTCCCACTACAGCCGAAGTATAGAAGCAGCTGATGATTGGTTTTCCGATGAGTCCCTCATGAAAAAGAGCCCGCCAATGCCTCCTCCCAAGGAACTTCTAATGGAAAAAATATTTTCCTATTTGTCTAGCTTTTCTTTAGAAGATTACACTGAAAATGTCACAAACACGACACAGTGTGATGGTCAAAAAGATGACAGCGATAAGGAAATCTTTTCACAGAGAGACACAGAGGCTGAAATACAAAACCTTCAGCAAAACTTTCAATGACTGCTTTGGAGACCTAGTGTGCACTGAAATCTGGCAAGGTTGAAGCTGAGTCACCATCCGCCGAGCCTCTTAACATGTCTGTGCTAATGCTGCTTTTCTTGTACTTTACCATAGAGCAGTCCCACTTCCCTTGCTAGTTCTTATTTCTAGGAACAAAATTAAAGGAAGAATTAGGGTGATATGAACATTTAGCTTAACCCCTCATATATCATTCTAAAGACATCAATAAATGATAGAAATGTACCTCCATATACAGGAGAAACACTTAAAAAATCTTCAGCACAAATAAAATATATTTTTGAATAAAACATACACAATATTTCCTTATACTTTTGATTTTTGTTTTGTTTCGGTGTGGGTCGGGCCAAGTAGATTACCACCATTAGTTCTTCTGAATGTAATATAGGCAAATCACCTTCAGATCTTTAAAGATTTTACTTATTTTCATTGGAAAGTCAGATAAAAAGAGAGGAGGAGAGACAGAGAGGAAAATCTTCTGTCCGATGATTCACTCCCCAAATGACTGTAATGGCCAGTGCTGCGCCGATCCAAAGACAGGAGCCAGGAGCTTCCTCCGGGTCTCCTACATGGGTGCAGGGTCCCAAGGCTTTGGGCCGTCCTCGACTGCTTTCCCAGGCCACAAGCAGGGAGTTGGATGGGAAACAGGGCCACCAGAACCTAAACCAGCACCCATATGGGATCCCAGCACTTGCAAGGCAAGAACTTTAGCCACTAGGATATTGTGCCAAACCCAATATGTCATGCTTTTGTTATACAATCTAATTTTATTCCTACAGGGCAACTTAGAACACTGTAAAATTTTCAGAAAATAGTCTTTCCTCCTTCCTCTTTTAGAATGATCCCCCAAATCTCATACCATTGTGACTCAAGCGATGTATCTCCGGTCTGAAAGACCTTTGGTTAACTTTCTGTTGATGACTCTGAAGGATTTCTGGCACTTACCGTATAATTCATCTCCCCCTCCCCAACCTTTTCCTAAACGCCTCCCCATGTAATCAATCCCTTTTTTCTTTCTACTGGGTAGAATAACTAACAAAGCATAATACCAACTTTTATTCTTTTTCTAGTATTTTATTTGTTATTTGAAAGAGCTGGAGAAGGAAGTAGAGATCTTCCATCTACTGGCTCACTCCTTAAATGGCTGCAGAGGCCATGGATGGGTCAAGCCAAAACCAGAAGCCAGGAGCTTCATCCAGGTCTCCCATGTGGGTGCTGGGGCCCAAGCTCTCAAACCATCCTCTGCTGCATTCCCATCGCATTAATAGGGAGCTGGATTGGAAGTAGAGCAACTGAGACTCAAACCAGAACCCATACGGAATGCCAGCATTCCAAGCAGCAACTTCACCCACTAACTCCTACCTTTTGTTACTAAATTATTCATACCAATGCATGTCCATCTCTTGCCAAGAGATAAATCATGTCTATTACAACAAATGCAAAGGAACTTGTGTCAAATAATATGACAGCATTAACCAGGTCTTTCTTCTCCCCCGAAGAAAGACTTAAAATGCTCTCACTTGCTCTCTCTCTGCACCCTTAAGCCTAAGGATGATATTTCAGCAGCAGGTCTGTAAAGACTAGTCAAAATCAAAATTGTAATTAGTCTCTGTCAGTTGGTAACTTGATACCCTGAAACTTCCATCTTACTGACCCAGAGAAGAATGCTCTCTTTAATAATGGTAAGGTGCTGAAACTGCCCTAGGATTTCGTGATTAGAGATAAGAGTTGTAAGGCTTGGTCTGACTAGTCTCTGGAATAGAGGCAACTTAAAATAGGAGTTGTGGGCTCCCACGTCCCACTATGTAGATTGGGAAGAAAAAGCAGCAAATCCACAGTGAGAAAGCAGTAAAGCATGTAGCAGATGGGGACTGCTTGGTTCCTGGATTTTTACCAGTGCCCCATGCCCTTGCTCTGGCCCTCTGGGAAGCATGGCTATATTCCCTGTCCTGAGTGAGCTTTGTAAGGCGTCTTTGTATTCTAATCACAAATGTCCCTTGTTGACTTGACAAATCTAGCAAGATTTGACTTCTGTTGCTGAGGCATGATTTTAACTGCTATTCTTGGCTTTGTTAAGGCACCCATGTACTTTTTAAAAAATAAATTATTCCTTTTAAAGAAACTAGAAAGCATTTTGCTTTTGTTACTATGCTCAAACAGCCTAACTGAATTTTTGCCCGTCTCATCAATGAGAAAAAGATTTGTGCATATAAATTGTTATGCTATAACTGGAATAAATCAAATTTACTTTTTAAAACCTAGGCCACTACTATTTCCCAGTCTCCAGTTCTCCCAAGCTGATGCGCAGAGGACCAGCTAAGGCCTGCATGTTTCATAATAGACAGTAAAGCTCACCTCACCTTTGCTCTAAGGGAGCTGCTACCTCTTCCATGGTTGGTTGCTATATCAACACTTGAGATGATAATTTGGAATTTAAGAATCCGTGTCTCTGCTTATGGACACACAGAAATACAAGAAATATCTAGTTAACATTGCCATAGGGTATTAGTTACCCTGTTTTGTTTTGCACAACAATAAAAAACAAATCAGCTTAGGGAAAAAACTCATAAACAGAGTCCAAATCATGGTTAAACAATTACGTGTCGGAGACACAAGTTTGTAACTGGGTCAAAGGAATAGGTAAAATGGACCCAAATTCTGTCAGAATTCGATCTGTACAATCAAGGTTCAATGAGGGAAGAACCACTGTCGAATTAGGATAAGAGGGTTATTAGAGAAATTGTTTTACCTTACACATCTTTAGGAAGAGCTGGGTAAGAGATGTGAAAAATTATAGAATCAGAGGGATTGTTTAATCTAAGGTTAACTGCCACAGTGAGCCTGGGGAGGAGAGGCTTAGGCTAATGGCCAGAGCTGAGCTGATCCGAAGCCAGGAGCTCTCCCAGGTCTCCCATTTGGGTGCAGGGACCCAAGGCTCTGGGCTGTCCTCGACTGCTTTCCCAGGCCACAAGCAGGGAGCTGGATGGAAGTGAGGCTGCCAGGATTAGAACCAGCGCCCATATGGGATCCCGGGGAGTGCAAGGCAAGGGCCTTAACCACTAGGCCACTGCGCCGGGTCCTCTAACTGCTTCTCAGATAAGTAAATTTTATTAAAAAAAAAAAAAACTTTCTCTTCCTCTCCTCTTCTTTCCCATTCTCTCCTCCTCCTCCCTTCCTTCCTTCGCTCCTCTTCTCTCCTCTCCTCTCCTCCCCTCCCCTCCCCTCCCCTCCCCTCCCCTCTCCTCTCCTCTCCTCCCCTCCCCTCTCCTCTCCTCTCCTCTCCAAATTGGGCCTGCTCATGGAGCACCTGAGGCCTAGAGAGGCCATAAGCTCCACACTGGAAGTGCCAGAACCTTCTACCACTTCAACCAAGGCCTGGATGGCGGGGCTTGAACCATGTGATTGAGGCCACCAGACCCCCACCCTCACCCCCCACCACTGCCACTTCAGCCAACTGAGCAGAGAAGAAAATTTAGGGCTTAGGAGACCAGCAGCAGGCAGTCAATGTTTCAAGTCCAGTAGGCTTCATATACTTTGGCACGCACAGTTATCAGGGACCAGATCCCCTGGGTATGAGTCCTAAACCTTGCACATTTATTGCATGTTGGGCCAACTCCTTTGTAGACTCCAGTGCGAAGGAGAGGCACTTACCCAGATTCACATGAAAGATCAATCGGCCTACTCCAGTGAACCGATCAAAGACCTCTCCAAAAGGCAAATAATCCTGAAGTAATGAGGATCATGTGGGGAACACAGGTATGGCATTGACTGGAAATTCTCCCACGTGTGAGATGGATCCAGTGGGTGAGACAGAGCTTTCTGAACCTCATATAAACAAGGCCCATGCCATAAGATGTAATAAATATGTATCCTTCAGCAATCATTGAGATTAAGGCTCAGAGGAGCTGGCATGATGGCTCAACTGCCTAATCCTCCACCTGCAAGCACTGGGATCCATATGGGTATCAGTTCACATCCTGGCTGCTCCACTTCACAGGCAGCTCCCAGTTAATCACCTGGGAAAGCAGTGGAGAAAGGCCTAAAGCCTTGGACACTGCATGCTCGTGGGAGATCTGGAAAGAAGCTCCCGGCTTAGCTCCAGCCGTCGTGACCATTTTGGAGTAAACCAGTAGAGGGAAGATATTTGTTTCTTTGTCTCTCCATCATGCTGTAGATCTGCCTTTCCAATAAACATAAATAATTCTTTTTAAAAAATCAGAGGGCCCAAAGTGATAGTGCAATGGTTAAGGTCCTCGCCTTGAACGCCCTGGGATCCCATATGGGTGCCATTCTAGTTCCAGGAGCTCCACTTCCCATCCAGCTCCCTGCTTGTGGCCTGGGAAAGCAGTCGAGGACAGCCCAGAGGCTTGGGACCCTGTACCCGCGTGGGAGACCTGGAAGAGCTTCTGGCTCCTGGCTTTGGCTCAGCACAGCACTAACTGTTACAGTCACTTGGGGAGTGAATCGTCGGACAGAAGATCTTTCTCTCTGTCTCTGCTTCTCACTGTATATCCGCCTTTCTAATAAAACTAAATATTTTAAAAATATCTTTTTTTTAAAAAAAAAAGGAGACTAAGTGTCAGAAAGCTTGAGGTGGGACTGAAATAGCAGGTAGCTAGCTTAGGATCATGAGTTGGAAGCAGACCATCCCCTGTGTAATCCTTTCCACCTGTCAATCAGATGACACCTTTCCCAAAATGTACTTTCCTCATCTGGCACCTGGGAGAAAGGTAACCACTCCCCATTCCAGTGCCATAGAAGTTTGGCAGTGGGTAGGGGCACTCTCTCTTCTCACAGACACAAGACCGAGGGTTTCAACAGTTGGTGGAACATGGAATGAAGCCAGAACACGTCAGCATAACAGGCCGGTCAAACCAGTTCTTCTGTAGGTCTAGATCCACCCCACCAGTCTGCATCAAAGACTAGCCCAGCATGCTGCAGCACCTCAGCTCTGCAGGCTTGTACTGGTTCCCTGCTGGTGGCCTAGAGGAAGCAGCAGAGGATGATCCAGCTGTGGGACCCCTGCCACGGACATGAGAAACAAACTAGGATGGAGTTCCTGGCTCCTGACTTTGGCCTGTCCCATCTGGGGCCATTGTGATTATCTGTGGGGTATGCCAGAGGATTGAAGATTTCTCTCTCCCTCTTTGTAACTCTGACTTTCAAATAAATAAAAATGATTTTAGAATAAAAAAGTTAACCTGCTACGGGCTGGCACAGTCGCATAGCAGATGAAGTCTCTACCTGCAGTGCCAGCAGCCCACAGGAATGCTAGTTCAAGTCCCAGCTACTCTA